GGGCACTGCTACAAAAAGATCTGGATTGCTTGACAAGCTGGATGCCAACAAAACTGTGTGTTTCAGTAGAGCCAAATGTAAGGTCCTGTACCAGCTTTGAAGGATGTGGGACTCTACTCTGAGGAGCAGTGACTCTGAAGGAGTCATGGAGGACCATCACCTAAGCATGAGCTCCCACTGCAGTGCTGTAGCCATAAGGGATAATGCGATCCTTGGACATATAAACAGGGACACCCAAGAAGGAGTCAGGAGGTTATATTATCTCTCTCATGGGCTGGGGGACAGCTGTTCCCAGGAGGTCTCAGGTCTACAATCCATGAAGGGTGTTGAAAAATTGGAGAGGGTTCAGAGATGAACCCTGACATGATTAAAGGACTGGACAACAGGCCTTGCAGGGAGAGACTCCAGGAGCAATCTCTTCTTAGCTTACCAAAGTAAAGAGTAATCAGACCTGACAGGAAAGTAATAAACATCTATCACAGCCACCAAAGACCTACATGGGAACAAACACTGATAACAGGCTCTGCCATCTGCCATCTGCCAGACCAAAGTATAACAAGATGCAACAGCTGGAAATTGAGGTTTGACAAGTTCAGATTAGCAATGAGGCGCGCATTTTCATCAGGGCAAGTAATGAAAGATTCTCTGAGGTTTCACTGTCAATTTTTAAATCGGGGTGGATATGTTTCTAAACACTCTCCCTGTGTCCAAGCAGGTGCTCTTTCAGGGAAGTCCTGTGTAATGCAGGTCAGAGTAGATGAACCCAAGGGTCCCCTCTGGCCTAACAGTCTGTCTGAGTGGTATCTGCCACTGAAGGATGTCTCTTCCTGGAGACCAGGAGACAGGTCAGTCAGTGGAAGCCAGGGTGGGAACAGCAGGGTGGGTCTTAGTCCTTGGGATGGAGGAAGAATTTGCTTTGCCTCTGCCCCTTGCCCAGTCTGTAGGGGAAATGAAGCAGCTGAGATCCAGAAGAGGAAGCTGGAGACTGATCTGTGCAGTGAATGGAGTTGCCGCAACCCCACAGCCCATGGATGCTTTGGGGACTACAGGGATGGGTGTGGGGAGAGCAGGGACTGGATGGCACAGGGACTGGATGGCACAGGGACCATGTACCAGCATCAAACCATGTACTAGTATCACCACCCCCCATCAGGGCTCTGGGTGTAGTACCAGCCAGATCCCAGGCTCCTCCCTGCTCTGGCTTGCAGGACCTGCTCACCTGGAAGATGCCCACCAGGATGGTGAGTGCAGCCACCAGCTCCACCCTGGCAGCATCCCTCCTGGCCTCATTAAGGATAGTGTTGTTGGTGCCATTGACTGGTTCCATGAAGTCATCACTGGGCACCATCAAGTCTGTCACACTGCCGATCATGACAGAAATGACAGCAAAGGGGCCTGCAGGGGCGGGGAGGTACAGGGTAAGGACACAGGAACTGTGGCCACATGGATCCCCTAGCAGATCATGCGCAGCTCAGTCCTGCCCACTCAGGACTCTCTCATGCGAGGAGCCAGGTCTCAGACACAGCAGGGGGGCTCCGTCCAGCAACTAGTACAGCAATGCAGCTGCTTATTCACCAGTATCAGACTCATCGGAGTCCTTGGAGAACTCATCTGAGAAGTGAGAAGTTTGCCCATGGGGCACTGGTGGCCTGGAAGACCCACATCTGCCGAGCGGGCAGGCAGTGACCTCCAGAACCCCGGAGACTCCAGCCAGTTGAGTAGCTACAGGCTAGCGGGGTAGCCCAGTACAGTCTCCGCAGGATGGGGGGAGGAGGCTTGGGTGCCTCTTGGTGCTCCCCCCCATGCCTGTTCCTGATAAGTGGTCTCCTTGGCAATTCTGGACCCCACAACTTCCAGCCTGGACCCCCTGCTCACCCACAGAGTTGTGCCGAGACGTCCCGAAGAAGAAGTACAGGAAAACAGGGTAGAAGGAGGAGTAGAGGCCGTTGACGGGAGGCAGCCCTGCCAGAAGCGCGTAGGCCAGGCCTGGACACAGCAAAGGCAGCAGAAGAGTTAGGCAAAGACAGGCTCAGCTGGGGCTCAGCCAGTATGCACACATGCCCCCCACCCCACAAGCCCCCCAGGCCTGCTCTCTGCCCTATCACACTGAGCCCCAGACCCCGTGCCCTGACATCCCCCAGCTCAGCCCTCTGCCCTCACAGGCTCCCATCCACCTTGTACAGTCACATTACATATACACACACACACACACACATTGATGATTTGATACCAGGAGGTACCAGAGAGCTAGAGACCATCCTCCCTGCCAGCTGGGTGCCAAGCTGCACCCCAGAGCAATCCTGCTGAGCAAACACTGAGCTCTGAGCAAAGGGGCTGTGACACTCACCCTGTGGCAGGTGCATGATGCCCACACTGAACCCCGAGGTGATGTCCCCAATGAGCCAGTCCTTGACCGGGTAGCGTGGCAGCCATTTCAGGAAGGGCAGGACCCGGAACAGCAAGGACTTTACAACAGCACCTGAACATCTGTAAGAGAAGGAGGGGAAGGTACCTGCGATATTTCTGCCAGTCCACCCCAAACACCCCCCTCTGTGGTATACCAGGATACCCCAGCTACCACCCTCTGGAAGGAGCTCTAGAGTCCCCAGACTGCTGCCTTCTGCAGGATCCTGGGAACTGCGAAACCCTTGTGGAGCCTCAGAAGCCTCTCCAAGTCCCTGGAGACCTCAGCACCTACTCCAGCACCAATATCTGAAGGGTTCTAGACCCCACACTTGCCCTAGACCCTGTAACCAGCTAAGCCTCTAAAAAGGCCAAAGGGGGCTGGTGACAAAGGCCCTTGTAGGTCACAGTCTCCAGCCTCCCATCTCCTTGGAGCTACTTGGGCCCAACTGGCACTGGGACAGCCAAGGAGTTGCGCCCACAGCGCTCTCTCCGGGGGCAGGTGCCCTAGGCAATGGAGAAGCCAGGAGCATACTAGACAGAAGGTGGGCAAAGGAGTGCACATGAGGGTGAAAGGGTACTGCCCCTGTCCCCTGGCAGCTGCAGGGCCTCTGGGACCAGTACAGCCCCCAGCCCACACCCTGCCCCACCTTCCTTCTACTCCTCACCTTTGGAGCCTGTGCCACTAAGGTCTGAGGAAAGGTTTTTCTCATAACTGATATTAGTTATTAGTCATTAGTCATAAAGCCCCTATCAGCAACTTGGCAGGCCCGTCTCCTGCCATTCTCCCCTTCTGCCATGTCACTGCACCCTCCTCAGCCCTGCCCAGCACCAGAACAGGGGAATGGGGTACACTGCCTCCTACCTCATCTTATGGAGCTTTCTGCGGATGGAGGATGGGGGAGTCTGGGTTCTCTGTGCGACCTCCTCTATCTCAGCCTCGCTCAGCCCCTTGTAGCCCCCCGGGCGGCACCGCAGCTCCATCTGCTCCATCGTGACGGCTCTGAACCTACTCAAGCTCCTGTCTGAACTTCAGGAGAAGAGAGGAGAGGCTCAGAGCTGATGATGAGATGCCCCACTGGAAATGGCTGTACCTGTCAGTGCAGCATCTGATGCCATTGTAGTCTTGCTTAGGGGAGCCCATAGCAATGCCTCCTCCAGTGCCAGCCAAGGCTGGAGGCTGAGGCTGCTGAAGAGTCAGCAGGTTGCTTTTGAGAGCCTGCAGCACTTCGAGGAAAAGGAGCTTCAGAGGCCAAGGCTGAAGGAGGCTCTGGGGCAAGGGGAGCTCAGGGGACCCAGAGGCACAAGGGCAGTGCAGGGGGCAGCCCAGCCCAGAGTTCTGCCTGTGGGGGACGTGGGAGGCCAAACCACTGGTGCAGGCCAGCCCACTCCTAGCTGTGCAGGAAGGTGCTGGTGCTGTGACTGGCCTGCAGCTGGTGCTCAAGGGACACAAGCCACCAGGACTCTGGCACTCCCTGCACCCTCTGGTCTCAATGCCTGAATCTGGGCTTCTTTTCTGCCCCAGACCAGGCCAGGGTTGTGTGTATGTGGGAGAGGGGTTGGCTTCAGGTAGCACCAGGGCTGCAGCCAAGAGTGAGCTCTTTCCACTGCCAACTCAGTGCCCCAGTCCAATCCCCCAAGAAAGACAGTCCCCTGCTCCGGGGACTGCATGTGACTGCCATGGGTATAATTCTGCCCATGGGCAGTCGCAGGAGTCTGGGCTGCCTCTGGCTGCACAGGGGGCCCAACAGAAGGCCCTGCCTCAGCCCGTCACAGCCTCTAGCCATGGAGCTGGCATAGGGGCAGGAGGGGGCACACACTGCCGCTACAGGCTTGGTGTCTATCACACCCTTCTGTGAGCTAGAGCAGTCCTGTGCCAGGCTCTGTGGGCTGCAGGGCTGGCAGTGAGTGCTCAGAGGGGCCTGTCTCTTCACCTCTGGACACCCAGAGCCCCACTGCACAGCCGTACAGACTTTGCCCTGTCACACATGAAGGGCCAGGAATTTTCACCCTCAGCAAGAGCCATTGGCCGTCCACTCCCAGCAGGTGCCTGTTGGTGGCTATCAGTGCCCTCAGTCACGCCGCAGGTGGGCACAGATACACAGTAGGTAGGCGGGCACAGAACACGTGCATGTGCCTGCACACACCTGTACATGTGCCACCACAGACCTGTGCATGCGTGGGCACACACCTGTACACATGCCAACAGTGCCCCTCAGCCTGAGCAAGCGTGGGGCACCATGTCTGAATGAAAGACAGGCCTGGGTTGGCAGCTCTGAACCTGAGCCCCCAAATTTCTGCCCAGAGCGGGCAAAGCCCGGACAGCAGCAGGGCCGGCTTCCCACATGCAACCCTGGAGAGGCCACAGGGCACTTGCATCTCTGCTGCCACCAATAGACAGAGTCACTGGGGAGCCCAGAGCTAGATGGTGTGGGATGTTACCGGCCATCCACTCCAAGACCTTGCAGACATGGGCAGGGACCCACCACACCACTCAAACCTGTGGCAGGCAGGGGATGGTAACTCAATGGGCAGGCAGCCTCATCCCATTCTCCACAGGCATAAGACAGAGCCCATCTCACAGGTTCTGAGCCAGAGGATGGCCCTGAAACTCTCTCCCTGCCTTTAGCTGCCCTGAAATGCCTCATGCAACAGGCAGGGCAGGAAATCACCTTGCCCCATCCCCACTGAGCTACAGATGCCCAGGAGGGGCTCAGTCTGTGCCTCTCCCCATAGGCCTTGTAGATGCTGCAAGAGGCCGGCACCAGCACTGCCTGGCCCCCTAGCATAGTGCCCACACCCAGAGCTTTGAGCCCCCAACCCAGGAAATCCTGTTGAGCTCCCCTGCTGGATTCCCACCTGCCACCTGGGATGCTGGTGTGGAGTCCAGGGGCAAGGTCCTGGGTAGATCCTCAAGGAAACGTTGCCTGCTAGCTGTGCCGCCCTCCACCACAGCCCTGACCCCAGCACACCGCACCTGTGATTCTGGCCAGGGGGTGATCCATAGACAGAACACCCAGGCCAGGCCCTTGTCACACGATCCCAGGACAGCGCTCTCTGGGATGCTCCAAGAGACTGGGGCTGAGGCATCTCCCAGGAGGATGCACCCCACCAGCTGCTCCCAGTCCCAGGCTCCCCCACAAACCAATCCACTCTGTGCCAGGGGCTGTCTCACCCCTCACATCCAAGGGGGCACCCCAGGGATGCTGATGGGGTCTCTGCCCTAGGCGTGAGCATCACCCTGGGATGATTAATACTCAGAGCCTTTGAAAATGCATCAAAGCAGGTGCCGGCTCGAGCTGCTCCCGGGGCTAATGGTGGGGATGGTTGCACCAATGCCCTGCTGTACGAAGGGTCCCCCCTGCCCCCTCCTCAGGCAACAGCTCTTCCTTTCCTCCAGCAGATACTCTCTCCCTGGGGACCAAGGACGGCTCTTACCTGGTGCAGGCACAGCTGCTGTGGGGTCTGGTGGCTGGGTGTGCCTGACAGCCCTCTAGTGAAGCGTGCACTCTCCTCCCCGCTATTAATACTTGACGGTGATCTTTGAGACACCACTCCCTCCTTCTGCCACCCCCCCTCACCTGCTAAGGCAGCTCTGGCTTCACAACCTCCTGAGTCATGGGGTTTAAAGGTACAAACTGTCACCGGGCAAGTCCCTGGCCAGGGGCTTCCTGCTACCTGGGGACTGCTTACTCCCAGCCCTGTCCTCTGTCAGGCCCCATCTTGCAGCCTCTGACAGGCCAGGTGAAAACCCCTGGGGAGCTGAGCTCCTGAGGGACAAGGGAGGCCATAAGGGTGAAGCCTTGCAGGGGAGGGAGGAGCATTCCTAGCAGGGAGACCACAGGCCTGCCTGTCCCCTTGAGTCCTCACCCATCTGAGACTTGCCTCCTCTTCTTCCTTGGAGAAACCAGACCCAACGGGACATCATTCAGGCGGGGAGGGGTGGAGGCCATGACCAGCTGCCCCACAGACTCAGAGGGCAGAAGGAGTGCAAGGCTCCTCCATTTCCAAACCCAGGGAAAGGCTCCAGTGCTTACAGCAGCTCCCCAAGTGCAGCTAGAAGTGCGAATGCCTGGCCATGCTGTGGTAGGGACTTCACCCTGTCCCTGCCCCAACACAGTGGAGCAGACTGCCTGCCACACAGCACACCCCCAAGGTACAGGGTTGAGCTCCATGGGTCTGGAGAGCCAAGCCAGTCCTGACTAGGAATAGCCACAGCCACAAGCCCTGGCAGGGAGCACAGGGGAGGGTACAGCTGGCTGTCCTGGCTCAGTGCCTCCCTCCACCTGCTTAGCCTGCACCTATGCACTTCTGCCCACAGACCTGCCATCACCTGTGTGCCCCTGGGGTAGGCAGGGAGCCAGCTGCTCCTGGCACCAGAGGAACCTAGTTAATAGGGCTGTGTGAAATTTTTCCAGCAGTTTCGTTTTGACGCTGTTTTGACTCATTTTGAGCTTGAAACAGCGAAATCGAAATGAAACAGAGCTTCAAAACAGCCTCAAAATGAAACAAGGCAAGTCGAAACGTTTCGAAATTTTCGAAACATTTTGAGTTTTGAAGCTCAAGCTGGGCTTGCCTTCAGGGAAGCAGAAATTAAAGTAAGCAGAGGGAGGGGGGAAGGCGTGCTCTCATTATTGACTGTGTAGCTGCCCAGTGACTGTGACCCTTCCCTGAGGTCCCTTCCTATCCCAGTGCTCTGGGGGAGGGATGGAAAAACTGCATAAAAGGCAACATTGTTTGAACTGCCCTGCTTTCTGCCTTGGTGTCATTTGAGTGAGGGCACACATTAACACACACAGAGTGTCACCCACCCATGTCACATGTGTTGTCTGTCAGCACCTAGAGGTGCAGGGCCCCAGGACCCAGACTCCCCCTGCACCGATCTCCTTGATGGCTGGCAGGATTCGTGGCCACAGCAGAGCCTAGCAGGCCTGCAGTTTTCACCCCCCTGTGCCCCAAGACAGACAGTCAGTCCCACAAGTACCCATGTCACGAGTTTTGCCAGTCAGCAGCCAGAGGTGCAGGGCCCCAGAACCCAGAAGCCCTGCATGGCTTAACACATACACGACATGAGTTTATTGCTTTCAAGACTTTGAGGTGCAATTTCCCTGAAACCCCATGCAACTATCCTCTTGAAACTTGGCAGGCTTCATGCCTCAGAAGGGGCTACCATTCCTGAAAGTTTCATCCAAATCAGGCAAGAAATAACAAAGTTATAGGATGTTTTGAGCTTCCCCATTACAGCCTATGGGCAAAACATTGAAACAGTTAAAACAGCGAAACAAACGGGACAGCAGTTTCGAATCAAAACAAAATTTGAAACGAAACACTGTTCTGTTGAAACGCAAGTCAAGCGGCGCCGTTTCACACGGCCCTGCTAGTTAACCCTTCCCTAGTGGGAGCCGTGCCTGCAGGGGTGTGGTGGGGCCAGCCGGTGCCCCACCCTCAGGAAATGCTGTAGGGCAGGAGGCCGTGGAAAGAGCCCTTCAGGCTCCCAGTCTGTTCAGGCCTGCCTGGCCCAGCCCAGCAACTTGGGGCACCAGAGCCCTGTACTTCTCACCATGCCAGGAGCCTCAGGTCCCTCTCTGAGAGCCCTACCACCCAGAGGCAGCCAGGCCCCATGCCACGGTGGCTTCGAAAAGCCTTCCTAAGCCAGCTGCCAGCCCCTGCCCCTGCAGGCTGCCCCACTGCACTCCTGCTTTTGCCCAAGTCCCCAAGGCATCTTCCCTCAGGCTTTGTCAGTGCCAGGGCCCCGGAGCTCCCACACCCCGTCCTAGAGCCTCCGCAGCGCCCAGGTGGGACTGTGGACCTGTCACAGGCAACTCCACCTCAGCCGCAGCAAGTTTGGCAGGGGCCACAGCACTTCTGTCTGCAGCTCCTGCCTTCCAGAGGCTGTGGAGCCTTAGGACAGAGCCACTGGCAATGGTGCCTGTTTACAGAGCCGCGGCTGGAACAGGGCGTGCTGTGCCCTGTGGACCAGCCTATTCTTTGGGGCACATGCTGTGCAGGAGTCTAGACCTTATCTTGTTCCAAAGTTCCCAATCAAGCACACAGAGCCCATGACTCCCCTCGCACCTCCCCACTCCCAGGGTGAGAAGAGGTAGGGGAGAATTTGGTATCACAGAAAGCACTTTAGTGCCCCTGAGTCACAGCCGGCCCTCGGCCCACTGAATCACGCAACAGCCCAAAGCTATTCTCTGAGCTTTCGGGGCTGCCCCGGGGCCCCACAGAACCTGGTCCCCCGGGATCCCTGCCCACAACGCACGTGGCCTATGCTCAAGTGAAAGGTTAGCAGCAGAAACAGAATGAGATGACCCCACAGTCCAGGCACAAGGCTTGGAGCTGCCCCATCTCACCTGGCACCACTGTGGTGCCTCTGATTATATCTATGGGCTCTGTTCTCAGCAAGCTCCCAAGACATGAATGCTTCCGTGGTCATCATACCCATCCTCCCTCATACTCTTCCCTTCTGGGGTGGCAGCTGGAGTGGTCCCCTTCCCAAGCAAGGAAAACATCATGTGGCAAACCATGCCAGTTCTACTCTAAAGCAAGAGCAGATCTGCCTGCTCTCCTTGGACTGGCTTGGGGGGCTGGAGCTTCCCTCCTTCATGGGCTATTCCTGGGGGGAAGCACTCAGTCACACAAGACCATGGCTAGGTGCCACCCACTGGCTGCTGGGTACAGCTCCCACCATACATGGCCCACAGGCTTGTAAAGCTTCCCTTGCTCTGGCTGGTTGTTACCTCCACCCAGAAATGGGACTTTGCAGCCTAGCTGTCCCACACTATGCCTGCCAGCTTCAAGGCCCCATCTCCCCCAGTAGCTTAAATTGGGGATGCCCAACCTTTTGGCCCCTCGGGCTGGATGACCAATCTGGGATCGCTCCACAGGGCAGATCTGATCTGTGGGCCCAGTCCAGCACTTGGGGCCAGCCTAGCACAGGGACAGGGACTGAGCCAGTGTTGGGCTGTCTCTGCACACTGAATTAGGCCCAAAGAACTAGCCTGGGCCCCCATGCCAGATTGTGCCCATGGCCCCAGTCTTGTGCATAGGGCCACATAATCTGGCCCCCAGGGCTTGGAAATTTGGCAGCAGGGGAGCCAGGGTAGTTAACTGCCACCCCCACACCCAATTTTCAGATCTGTGGGGCGCCCCACATGCTGGATGACACAGCTCCACAGGCCAGAGGCTGAGCAGGCTGAAACGCATCCTTTTCCATAGCTCCAACCTGGCAGGCCCTCTGGGCTCACAGATCTCTTCAACAGGGACATGTGTAGTGGTAAATGTAGCATGTACAGGCATTTATTTACCCGTGTGCATGTGGATGCACACACATGAACACATATACATGCACACATGCATGGACACATATATGCTTGTATACATGCACACACACACACACATATTGCTCCTTACTTAGCTGGCACAAAGGATCCAGACACACATAAGGAAATACCTACCCACACCTGCCTGCCTTGGGGTCCCGAAGGCTCTGGAACGTTTCACAGTCTCAGCCTTTTATGCTTTGCTGTGTCAAGGGCCGTTTTCTTCTCCACAGCACTCGGCCTGTGTCTGGCTGGCTCTGCATGCTCCAGGACAAATTCCTTTGGCACTGGCTGGGCCCATAGCAAAATTGTAGCTCCCCCCCATCAGGAAAGCACCCCCTTTCCCTCTTGTCAGCCCAAAGCTGCCCGGGAGCACTTGTGCTTGTAAATCCTTCTCCCAGCACCTGGCTGCCTTGTTCTTCTGGGGCAATTCCACTCACCCTACAGACAGTCTTGGTCGAACTGGGTCATCTGGGCTTCAGCCATCTCATGAAGCCAAGGCACTACCCCTAGGCTACACAATAGCAAGGCTTAACAGCTCTCTGCTGGCCATGCCTGGGACAGACAACCCAGCATCCTGACAGCAAACGGCTGATGCCGCACACATGGAGACAGCCACACATAGTACAGCTGTTTCATCAGAGAAACCACTGGCTGTGCAGAGACCAGCCCCCCACAGCCACAAGGGGCCCTGCTCTCTCCCCAGGCATTATTGTGCTAGACGTGGTAGCTCTGTCCCCCTTGGTCCCTGTATAAGGATGCTGTATGGCAATGAGGTTTTAGGGAATGGGGCTCATCTCTGAGTACCAGCCCTGTTCCCAGCAGGCTCCACTGCCACACTAGGGAGAAGGCGGCAGACCCACAGCTGGGATTCGACTATCCATCCACAGCACTTCAGAGTAGCTAGAGCCTCTTCTCCAGCTCACACCCCTCCAGCCAGGGCCGCAGCACTTGGATCGTTCACTGCAGGACACTACTTTATTCTCTTACAGCACAAATCACAGCTACTTGGGCAGGGTCTGGGCTGTGTGTAGAGAGGCAGAGGCTGGCATGGCTTTAGCAGGCATTTCCCGAGTGGTTTGAATGTTTCCTTGGGCAGTTAAGAGGCCAGGGGTAGCCCCTAGAACAAGAAGGCCCCAGCGAGGGATTTGGGGCTTTATCATCAGGGCAACGCTGCCTGTTAATCCCCCGTGCAAGTGTATCTGTGAGGATGCAGTAGGCAACCACACGGTGGGAGGTGCTGCTGGCAGGGGAGGGATGGAGCCGAACCATGCTTGCACAGACAGCCATGCCCAACTGTGGCAAACTTGAGTTTTGGTAAGAGACTGATATTTGTATATATGTATATTTTATAAACAAAACAACCCCCTCCCTCCGCTCAGCTGGGAGCTGGGCACTCCCTGCTCTGGGCCAGGCATGTTCTCAAGTCTCTGGCAGTGCCTGGCCCAGGAGGGGTCACCTCGCTGTCTGGGCTCACAGGGACGGGCCTTGGGCACTACGACCAGGGCTCCTCCCGTGCACGGCACTGGCCATTCCTTCCCTTATCTGTCACCGAACTGGAGAAAAAGAGTGCCATAAGGATACAGAAGGGGCTCCTGCCGAGTGTGCTGATAACAGCTCGGTGCCCTTTACGGCCTCCTTATCTCCCCTTCCTGCTCTTTCCCCTCCTTGCTTTCTTCCCCTTATTGCCAGTACTATCATTATTTCCTCCTCTTCTCACCTTCCATCTCCTGGGCTCTGCCTTCCTCCCCACTGGTGGCTTTGAAGATGAAACAGGATCCACCTACTCTTCCCCCCAGCCTTTGCTCAGAAGCCCTCCCTCCTAGGCTCCCCACGTGGCCTCTGTGGTCTTCTCCTCAGGCCTCTCACTTTGTCTTTCACTCGTCCATCCAAGCCCCAAAGACCCATGAGACTGGACCTCTTTAGCCCCTATACTCCCACCACCTCTTCTCCCAGATCTCTGCTGTCCTCATTATCTGAGGAGATGCTGTCTGACACAGAGAGAAGAGACATGCTCTGCATGTGGGGTTGCTCCTTGTGTAAGCCTCAGGGAGAACCCCAGAGCAGGTGCCTTGGTCTTCACACCCAGCGACCAGAGCCACAGGCCTGAGGCTGCCCAGCATCAGAGCACATGGCTGAGTGACCCATGCCAAAGGGGTAGAGGCAGGGTGGGGCTTCCACCCTGAGGAACCTGTTCAAAGGGAGCTGGTCACTAGTCTAGGCTTGCTTATGGAGGAGGCTTTTCAGGTCCAGAGAAGTAAAGGGCTGGAGGCAGGATCAAGAAGCACCAGCAGAGCAATGTGTAAGGGTCCAGGAGCTGTAGAGCAGGCCAGAGGTGCATGAGGAGGCCTGTGGGGGAGCACAGAACCATGAGAACTCAGCAATGAGTTTAGAAATCCCCAAAACTAGCAAATACTTCCAGAGGGCCTGAGTCACCTCACACAAGCACAGACTGGGCCCAGGGGTAACAGCTTGGGTCACCCCTGAGGAGTTGCGCCCGCAGCCAGCCTGACTTTGGGTGGCTGAGGACAGGGTGGGGCATGGCAGCCCTTGTTCCAGCGATGATGGAGCCAGGGGCTGTAATCACATGGTGATCAATACTGACCTCTGGCTCTTGGCATCTTGGCTCTTCGATCGATAGCAACCTTCACTCTCGGGTCCAGGGCTCGCTCTCCTTTCCCTTGGAGGCAGGATCCTCTGTTCCAGCGGAGGGTGTAGGCAGAGTATCGTGTGGAGATTGGTCTCAGGGAAGGGGGGGCCTGTAAGTACTGACTGGGCTCCCGCTATCAGTGAACTGTGGTTTAATTACAACATGATTCCACTGCCACTTTGATCAATCATTTCCCAAGGAGATTCTTTTGGACCCACTAAAAGTGGCAGAATAAAACCAACATAAAGGGTCAAACACAACTGTACTTGCCACCGGGGTGAGACCAGGTGGGGAGAGCAGCCATTTGCCTTCCTCCTTGGTTCACGAGGATGTAGTGACTCAGAACCAGGCAACCAGAGACTGCGGGACCTGAACCTATTCAGCCTCCACAAGAGAAGGCTAAGGGGGGACCTGGTGACTGTCTATAGACTCACTAGGGGGGACCAGGGGGTTTGGGGGAGACGCTGTTTCCCCTAGCGCCCGCTGGCATAACAAGGAGAAATGGGCACAAGCTGTTGGAGAGGAGGTATAGATTGAACATCCGCAAAAACTACTTCACCGTTAGGGCGGCTAGGAGCTGGAACCAACTTCCAAGGGAAGTGGTGCTGGCCCCTACCCTGGGGGTCTTTAAGAAGAGGCTGGATGCCCACCTAGCTGGACTCGTTTGAGTCCCATTTCTCTTTTTGGGGTTTTTGTTGTTCTCCCGCCCTGGCGGGGGGTCGGGCTAGAAGATCTACTAGGTCCCTTCCGACCCTTAATCTATGAATCTATGAATCTATAAACAGAAATGTGGTTACCCATGGCAGCTCCTTTCCCCGTGATGGGCCTTTTATCCTAGGTCACTCACCACCACTTCCAGAGGCCTGGGCTGCAAGTCAGCACCTCAGGACCTGTGCAGCGCCACGAGTACAGTCCCAGGATAAGCAGGGCTGAGACACATTGGTACAGTGCTTGTCCTAACTCGATGTGGCCCTGGCCAGTGCTTTCACAAGCCCTAGGAACCAGGACAATGAACAACGAGCTCTACAAATGGGCCCTGTGCCCAAACCCTCATCCCAAACCTGAGGGTGGTATCATCTGGCTGTGATGGGGCTGAGCTGGCCAGTTCAAGGTGCTGGAGTTTTCTGTAAGGAGAAAAGTCTATCCCCACCTGCCCAATGCCGTAAGCTCCCTCCCAGCCCTTTGACATCAAGAGGCCATGAAATCATCTCCCAAGCTGTGGGGGATGTGTGCCACATTCAGGGGCCCTGCTTAGCCAACAAGAGCACCCCAATAAAGTGAAGCTGCTGGCTGGCCAAGAGCCAGAGGTCAATATTGATCTGACTGAGGACCAACGCTCAAACAGGGCTGGTAGGGATTGTATCTATGGCCAGAGGAGACTCCAGTGTCATCTGTGGACTGTGAATATTCCTCCAAGCACAGAACACCTCCCTGCTTGCAGTGGGCCCCATTCCCCATGTCACACACCCCAAGGTTTGCTCAGCCCCTCCCCCAGGCTGCCTCATCCACTCACACCCATGGCACAATCCCATGCCCACGCTGCCCCCCACACCACACCCACAGCCCTCTTTGGTGCAGGAGGAATCAGCACCCCTTTGGAAAATCAGGGGGCAATTGCTCAGAGCAGCAACGCAGGCTTCTCTCCTCTCCACAGGGGGTATTGAGTCCCATGCACTGTAACACATGAGACCCCAAACCCTCCATGTCCATCTACTCTGCAGGGATATCATAGAGCCAGGGACATGCCCTCCAGTCCTTGCCCACAGTCCTCCCTCCCGCCCAGTGTGTGGCATGCTGCAGTTGACAACGCCTAACCCCACCTGACCCCAGAGCAGATGACACATGGAGCCCAGGGTGGTTTTATAGAGTTTTTTATTTTCCATTCTGGCGCTTTCATGGTACAATTTTACAGGGCCGAGGCAGGAGTCTGTGAGCCTCTGCTCCCTGCCCACAGCCCAGGCAGAGGAGAGGAAACAAAGCAAACCCCAAACGGACGCTCTTCGGAGCCTAGGCCACAGCACTACAATCCACAGCATGATTAGCTAACCACGGCGCTCCAGGAGCTGGGAGGGCAGAGGATCCCCCTTCCCCGGCCACTCCCAGCTCTGAGGCAGTAGCTTGCAGCCTCCCCACGATGCCACTGAGGGCAGACTTAACAGCTTCACTGCTCTCTCATTTTTGGCACATGGCACTAGCTAAGCATTTGGCAGTTGGGTGAATTTCTGTCATGGACCCAGAGTCCCAGGGATGGAGCAGGAGGGTGTCACCAGTGGGTGGGGGCAGGGACAGCATCTGGTGGGCGATCCAGGCCTTTCCCCCAAGTCATGCGCTGGCAGGGGATAGAGCCAGGGGTTGCATTTGCTCAGCAGCACAGTGATCATGCCAAGCCTGGCACAGGTAAACTTAGAGCTTGCCAAGGTGAGGAGTGAGTACTCTGCTCCGTGAAGCAGGTTGCAAAGCACCAGGCTTCTGAGAGTTAATGGTTACGGTTTCAGAAACAATCTGCCCATATCAGCTGGACCCAGCCCAAGATGCTTTGGGGACAGGTTTCCCTGCACCCACAACGGCAACATGGCCTTGAGAAGCAGAGTCCCCTGCACTGAAACAAACCCTCCAGCCAACAGACAGCACCCACATGAATCAATCCCTCCTGAAGAACGTGTGTCCCTGGAAACCCAATCAGAAACCAAGCTGCTGCACAGATCTTAGCGGTGACCAACAGGTCTGATACCAGCAGGTCACAAAGTCAGATGGGTACAACCATCAGCCAAAGATAGACATATGCAGGGATCAGTGTCATACCTGAAGACCCAGGCCCTGTGGACATACAGCCTGAAAAAACAGTGGAGACAAACTATTGTCCCTGAAGGCAGCATGGCACTAAGATGAGCAACGGGGGCATAGGCACAGGTGGGGGTGTCTGCCCATGCCATGCCTGTGCTTCTGGGTGAGGACAGGGTTCTTTTTTGCATGGAGCCCTTTGGCTGCACACCTGGCTTGAGCCCGCCATGAAAGCACTTTGAATCTGGAAACAGGCAGGGTGCTGGGCAGCCACTGTATCCATGTGCCCGTCTCTGAGGCTTTCTCCACTGCCAAAACACCTCACTCCCTTCTGGCTGGGGCTGGTCAATCATTTCTGAGCCTTCCCATGTTTAGGCTTTGACCAAGCAGCAGGCCAGAAGGTCACGAGGCCCCCTCACCAGCCGCAAACTATGGAATGTATCTGAGAATAGGATGTTCTCCGTCACCACCAGCAGGTCAAAGGCTCCACCTGGGGAGCACCAGGGGAGTCCAGCCTGCCCGGACAGTCAGCAGAAAACCTTTCCTAGTGTAAACATTATGCGCTCGCTGCACAGTTCAACGGCAGGGTTCCATGGGAATAAGGCAGCTAGTCGTGCACCGTCGCTGCGAGCGTGTGCAGCACATGTAGCAAGAGACACAGGTCCCCTGGGTGCTGTGCCCAGAGCATGGCAGGGTCAAGGCTGTAAACACATTGCTTCCCACACCCAAGCAGGCTGCGGTGTGGTTCCTAGGGGCCTACAGTCCCCTGAGTGAGGGTGGGGGCAGGCACAGACTGGAGCAACCCCTGCGGGCAGCAGGAGGTAGTGCTTCTGCCTCCGGGGCAATACACAAGTGACAAGAGGGGCAGGGAAGTTGGCTAGCTTGCAGCTCTCTGCACTTTCACAGGAGATTCAATACACTCCGAGGCAGCAGCAGGGAGCACTGGTAACCCCAGGTATAGCCCCACTGGAGGAGGAAGGGGCAATGAGCATCCAGAGTGGCTTGAATTTCAAACTGCTACTGTGCTCATAGTGCCTGTCCTCTCTCCTGATATCCTGGCCTGTCTGAGCTGCGTCTGGGCAGTGTTGGTGGATGTGTGTGTGTGGATGTGGGTCGAGGCCTGGGTCTGGGTCCTCATTTACTCTTGCCTGGGGTCTGTGCTAGATGGGAATGCACTCTTTCCTGCAAGAGGCACTGGAGGCACTAGCTCACATGTGTGCTGGGAGGGAGGCATGGGGCTGCTTTGCCAGTGACCCCAGCCCATGCTTCTGTACCAACTAAGCCACTTTCAGTGCTCGGTCCTTTGACTGCAGTTTGGAAGACTGCTAGCTCTACAACAAACAGCCCCACCTACCCACTGAGCCCCCAAGCTTCTCCATGGCTTCTGCCCCCCTCTCTGTGGCAGGTGCCAGCCCCAAGGCTCCTAGGATTGCAGGCAGGAGGGGGCTTGCCCTTATACATACAAGTCAGAGAGAGGCAAACACTTGATATTTGATGCTGGATCAGGAACCAAGAGGCTTTTCCCATCACCAGTGCTGCCAGAGGGAACTGGAGGGGTGGGGGGCAGAAGGGTGGGAGGGCATGACAGGTCTAGGAAGACCAGGATGTGAAGCAGAGTCTCCATACAGGCCTTAGTGCCTCAGCAGCTGTCCCCAATGAGCCCTGCCTTCCCTCTTGCTAAACAGACACTACACTGGCTCTTTCTTCTCTGCCCCTGTTACTAAGTGGTGGTGAGTGACACAGCTCAGCTCAGACTGACGGCCTGGGGGGCTCCACCAGCTCATCCCTTTCATGGCAGCCTCTGCTCTGGACTCAGATGGGGGCTGCAGAGGAAGGCTGGCGCACACAGCTGTCCTGCAGCTTGTGGAGTGCAGGACCAGCATGTCTTGGGGCTCTGGCCTGGGTGACTGTGAGGACACCACGTCGGGAAGGAGGGGCACTAGCAGGGTCAAGGGGGGCAGGGAGTGCTGTGGGTCAGGACTGGGGCACCAGCAGAGGCACTGCTGCCTCTCCCCACCTGCCTGGCACTGACACTTCCCCAAGAATGGGATGCCATGCAGGAGAGTCCTGAAGAACACAGCTTGCTGGGAGGGGGCTCCATGGCACATTGGCCTCCCCCTGCCCAGAGCCTGCACTGGGGAGGCCGCAGCCCCACGAGACCCTGGCTGCAGTCGCTGTCAGCACCGCGGCAACAGGAACAGAAAATTCCGTAAAAATAACCATAGAAATTTCTCTTCTCTCTGATTACAAAGATACAAAATGTATAAAACCCTCCGCACCCCCGCCCCACCTCCAGGACACACACACGCGCACACACACACAGTGTAGAAAGGGTTCAGAGAGGAAGATTTCGGTCTGTTTGTTTCTGATATGTTAACGAGTGGCACCAGCAGGGGGTTTTGCTCATGGTGTAGTGCTGCTCCCTGCTCCGGGGCACCCTGTCAAGGCAGGCAATTGGCTGGTGAAGCCTCAGTTGGCCCAGAGGTACCTGAGACCCCTTTCTTCCAGGGGCGTTGGCGTGACCTGCCTGGCTCTCGGCCCACGAGTCCTCCAGCAATGATGGGTGGGGAAGGCAGGGTGCCTTCGGGCCTCCAACCACTGTCAGTTTTCTCCTTGCAGGCGCCTGCCCCCCCAGGGACCCTGACCGTCTGCTGGAAGGGTCCGGCCAGGCGAACACTCCTGCTTCTTCCTTTGCTCTTGAGGCAGCTTGGGCCCCTCAGGAATGGCCCTCACTTCTCGTGACTCTGTGTGGGGGAAAGGAGAGAAAAATTAACACAAGAAGCCCCTGGGGCTCTGCTCCCTGCTCCCTCTTCCCTGGCTGGTCTAAGCCCAAGGGCAGGGGCTGTGGAAAACACAACCCATACTGATCGGTACCAGCAACAGTGCCAATGCCCAGGACAGGCAGGTATAAGACAACGGATGGGCTCTACCTCCAGCCTGCACCTGTGCCCAACACATCTGAAAGGCTTGTTCCTTACTGTACACCCTGAAAGGAAGAACACTGCCAGGGCATGGCAGCAATAGCCAGGGATGGACATCCTCTGCCCACAGGAGCCCAAGGATGCCTTCTAGACAAGCATGAGGATGCCTTCTAGACCTCCCCCATTGTGCTGGTCTGTTGTGCTAGGAATCCAGCTGGGGTCCTGTAGGGTGTGCAGGGGAGTGTAGTGGGGAGAAAAATGGGTTCAAATGGCCCCATGGCAGCACTGTGAGGACAGGAACACAGCAGCACTGCTTGAAACAGGTGCAGCAACAGAAAGGACCAGGAACAGAAAGGGAAAGAGCCCATCTCCCTCTCTAAGGGCAGGGCCCAGGACCCAAAGTGTGGGAGGGGGAAGGTGGCATGTAAGAGGAGATGGGCTAGGCCAAGTCCTCCCATCCAGCCCAACCACTGGAGACAAGGCAAACAGAGCTGGAGGACACCCAGCTCTAAGGAGGATTTAAGGGAACTCAGGGCATGGACTAAGGAACTCAGTGCAGGGAAAGGGCTTGCAAATGAGGCGGACACGTACTGGGCTCAGGTGTTGGGCACACTCCTCCTTTTATACCACCCCTCCAAGCCCAACACATCAGACGGGACATCACTGCTTCTCTGTAGCCTAGGGGAAGGCAAAGCTTGGCCCACAGATCCGATTGGGCCCATGGTAGACTCCAGTTCCCACCATCTTCTGCCCATGTTGCTGTGGCCAGTTTTCATGGAGACCCCAGGAGTGGCAGGGCCATGACACTGTCGGGCCAGGGCTTCCATGGAGACTGGCACCAGCTGTCAGGGTGTGTGGCTGGGTGGGGAGCTGCTCCAGGGCTGGGGTTGGGGCCAGGGCCCTGGCTCTGGCCCTGGCCCCAGCCCCAGCCCCAGCCCCAG